TTATCCCAACCGACTGGACAATTCCTTTAATCCTCTCCTCACACAAAAAAAGTTTCTCACAAGTCCAAATCCGCTCAAAACCCTAAGCAACAGAGAGATCCTATCCCATAATAAAACAAGTAACATAGAAGGATGCTTGACAAGTATACATCTTTCACAGGAAAAGCTAGAGGATCAAAGCCTTATTCCCAAAAGGTTAGGGTCGGCTGCATGATATCAAGAGTTTGTCTTGGTCATTTACAAAGATCATTTTCATCCATTCGCTTCTATTCAGAGGATCAACAAATGAAGACAATAATATGTGCAATTATGAAGACATTGATCACCCTTCCTCACATCCTTGTGCCTTTAAATGCCTCGAAGGCTGCTCCATCCACACTACAAGTAAGAAACAAGCAGACAAGAAACACTCCTGAACCCATTTCTTCACTCTGTCTGGTGCCTCCACTTTTATTGCTCTACTTAGAATACCCACAATCACCCAATCATAGGTTCACTTAAAGTTTAGTCCAAAACATTACCCTTCCAACCACTCCAAACATCATCAACCACCTAATCAGCCACAAAGGTAACATCCAGAGTTTGTCTAACATCACCTTAATTCAGATCTAACAAACTAGAAATGAATGTCTTTTCACAGATACAGGATATTCTACAAGGCCATAATGACTAGTCAACAAGAAAAATCACTAAACTTATCTAATCAAATCTATAATGGACAAATGAAGTATAACATCATAAAGTAGTTAGCATAATTACCACGTGCTCAAAATAACAAAACTCCAAGCTATCAGACACATCCATAGAACAGTAGTAATTCTAACATCAATAAAAATAAAAAAAAAAAAAAAATTAAAAAAAAAAAAATATGAGGTTCCAAACATAAAATGTGTTTCCAGAAATTTGATGTAGTCAGTCTACACCATTAAACAATAGAAAATTATCAAGCAACTTATAAGTTTAGACAATCCTAACAAAGTGAACACCATTTGCTTCGGGCTAACCAAGTCTTAAGCCTGACTAAGTTTTCCCGAGATGAATATTTTTAAAATTTTTTATTTGGATTTTAAAGAGAAAAAAGCTTTTCCATAATACTAAATAAGGAGAACATATTATTAATGACATTTTCAGGAAGTTCCCACATCAAAGTACAGAATCAAATATATCCTCTAAATTCTACTTCGTACTCCTATCCTCCCGCCTCACCCTCACTGATTTCCTCACCACTATCCCTACATAAATCTCTGTCTGCTCCATCCACATCTGATGCAGGTCTCATACCTGAAAAACAATTCAATACTCAAATGGAACACACAAAGATCACTAGCAACTAATCAACAAGCAATTAAAACACGCCTAATTGGCTTTTTCACTCTTTCTCTACAATCTCTTCTATCTTCTGATCTATTTTGCTTTCCTCTCTTCACCAGCTCTACCTAATCTGTCTCACCTTCTCGTTACATATTTTTGGTCCTTTTTGGACAGACTCCTTTCCTGCTTATCAAGGTTTATAGCCAGGCAAAGTTTCTGAGGGTGAGGGAGAACTCCACATATAACCTTCAGCTCCACGACAATAATCTAAAATGCTGCCAACAATCTTGAGCATTTTCTATTACAACCAATTCATTCATAAGCCAATTGACTAAATCCATTACTCAAAATATCAATACAATTAATGATAACGTCTACCAGCTAACTAGCAGCAAAACCAATCCCAACACCAAAATTCTCATCTGTGAGAATTGAATCAGGTATCAAGAAGCCACAAAGCAGACAATAATAAGAAGAAAACATAAATACAATCATTAGGAGGCAAAAGTTGCTAGTGAGACAAAGTAGTATAAAGTGTAGGACCAGATAAGAAAGAAAAATTCTGGATTTAAAAAATGGAGATAGCACACGATCGAGGCATCCCATGAAATGTGACAATATCTAAATCATGGTGATACAGCTATATACTATGGCACTTACTTGTAAATATCCATCCTTCATCCAGCTGCTTCACCCTCAAAAATATCTTGGCAATGATCATTTTATGTCTTCCAGCTAACAAAATTTGACAACTTTGCTACTGAACTTATGACAAGAATACAATTGAACTTAGTCCAATCGATCATATGCTTGTCTTTAGAGGCATCACTAAGCAATAAACCCCAGAGGATGAAAATAATAAACCCAACTGAAGAGCAAAGCAAGTCAAATGTTGATGGGAATTTAAACTTTGGAGTGGTAGTATATTGAGTGCACCTACATGGCTACATGTCCATCACCATACAGAAGATGAGACCGACAATTGCTAGTTCATATTTCTAATAATGTAGTGGCAAACAAAATGGATTCCTGAACACAACTGTCAGGTCCAAAAGGGAATATGTTGCTAATAAGTGAAATAATATTTACTGACAGGCTGACAGCTTTACAACCACTCTCACCAAGAAGTTCTTCTATAAGGATCACTCACATCATTAAAGCATGAACTAAATAAACAGAAGGGGTGATTGGTTATCTCTATATGTCATGATACTTTCAGCTGTAAAAAGACTTTCTGGAAATAGCTAGGGTGATAGAAGCTAAGAAATTAGGCAAATCCTGGAAATATGGCACTGGAAAAGGCTATTTATGCTGGCTAAAATACAACTAAACAAGTGTAAGAAAATTGATGACTCTTAAATTTTACCAGAAATCTATCCTACCAGAATAACCAAAAGATCAGCTTAAAGCCTAAAAAACGGAGACAGCAGTAGATTTTTTTTTTTTCTATTTGACATGCTCTAGAATTATCATGAAGCAACACCTACAAAATTAAGAATTGTCAAGTATAGCTCAAAAGCTAAAGCTTGACAAGAGGAAGTATATACAAGCCTCACGATAAAGAACTTCAAACCTTGACAAGAGGGAGTATCTCATATACAATACGATTTTTTCTATCCAAGTACAAAACCCAGATAGCAGCAGAAAACTTTCCCAACATCAATCATCAGAGATCCACATGAGAAAGCTTCAATGATTTCAGGCCTCGCAATAAGGAAATAGTAAGCACATACAGGTATCATGCTAATCCCTTTTTGTGCAAAAGGCCAGATGCGCCATACAAACTTCGATAGCTTTGAGCAGATCAGCACCAAGTAATCTTTCTTGTGTAACGTAAATTACTGAACAAGGCAATTTTTAGAACAAAAAATTTACCAATCTCATCCAATATATGAACAACAAAAGGGGTGAAGGATAGGAGAATACAACTTCAATACCACATGAAGCATAAATAAAGAGATCTGACTCCTAGTCAGACATTACTGAGTGATGTGATATTAGTGTGCTGTAATATTTTCTGTTATCCGTACAGCTAAAAGTAGAATCTTGCGCTATCCACGTAGTCATAGCCTATTTAGCATCTATCTGCATATCTCACTTTTTTAAGACAGTGAGGAATTCATATTACTAGCAATTGTAGGTTTTTAGACATGTCACTCCTTGTTATTCTGCCTGACAATCATCAACAAACTAAATTCAATGTGCTAATCACTACGAGCACTTTAAATAAACAAACATAATGGATAGTTGACGCCCCAATGCCAAATTGCCATTAAATGGCCACAGTTGAGTACAGTACATAATATACCTTTAATATGGTTAGTACATAGATAAACAAGGTCACTTGACAACTAGAAACTATGTTTTGCTGAGTTAGATATAAATGCTATGGTGCCATGGACTTTAAATAAATGCTATGGTGCTAATCACTAAGAGCACTTTAAATAAACAAACATAATGGATAGTTGACGCCCCAATGCCAAATTGCCATTAAATGGCCACAGTTGAGTACAGTACACAATCTACCTTTAATATGGTTAGTACATAGATAAACAAGGTCACTTGACAACTAGAAACTATGTTTTGCTGAGTTAGATATAAATGCTATGGTGCCATGGACTCAAAACAGATGAGCAGGTTTATAAATTATAATTACACCAAAGCGCTAAACAGCAAGACTTAAATGTAAAACATGCACCTCATCCACCTCTTCACCTCCAATAAAACTACTAAATTAGTTTGCATGACAAACAATATAAAATGGTAAATTCAATTTGAAGAAGTTTCTTTTACTAGCAAGGTGATGTGAATACCATAAATAAACTAGAGAATCCGGTAGGGTTTGTTTTCGTACCCAAAAAAAAAAAAAAAAAAGCCATTGAAGTGAAAAGGGTGTTAATGCCTAGGCACAAAACACAGGGATGAGGTACTGAAATAATACATTGTTTTTTGGATAGTAAATAAGGTTTATGTGTACTTTATTTGCACCTCATTGTGCATTATTGAGCGCATTGGGGATTTGGGGGGTGCTTCTTTATAAATAGAGCTGGAAAAAGCTGACACGACATGGCAAAACAACACGAACCGGACACGAAAAAATTAGATTAGTGTTTAAGGCTTACAACAAAAAATTACTAAAAGATTTATCAAAAAGTATGTATAAGAATTGTTTATGATCATTTAAACTTATTTCCAAGTTACGTTCCATCTCTATAATTACCTATGTGTTTCATTATTAATGAAGTTGCTTACATAAATATAGGTAGAATCAATTATTTTTAGCCTAATTATACTAACCCAAACTCAACCCATCCCATTTAGTCAAATGAATAACCCATTTACATTTTAAGGTAATAACTCCCAACCCAACCTGCCACTTCCATGTCAGGCATGGACTGGTTTGTCATGTCAAGTTAATTTTTGCCTACTTAAATAAAAACAGGCGAAAAATATAAAAAACTAGCCAAGGAAGTGACTTTACAAGTGCATACAGTTTCTTGGTCTTCACTCTTCACTGAACAAGATGTTAAAAAAGAATCAAACAAAATAATTCTTGGAAAATCTATAAGAAGTATCCAACAATCAAATCTCTCTTAAAGAATGAAGCAAGATCAGTTGTACACAATTTTTTAAATCTTCAGTGATCAAATGATAATAAACAACAAAATTATTTGCAACAAAATCAACTATAAGGCTTGAAAAGCTAATATTTCAAGCAAATAGGTCACCTCTGCTATAAAAGAATATCGACATGGAAAAGCATAACACATGTCACTGAATGAGATGAGAGAATAGAAATTGTAAATAGATATAGTATTTCCTTACCAGCTAAAAATTAATATTCTGTGGATAAGACAATATAATGACGACATATTTCACTGCATGACATACTTAGTAAACAAGCATCCCCATATTCTATAAATGGAATCCCTCAATGTTACTCACACAGTCACACTTATGCATCTATCAAGCCTGAGCTGAAGAGACCAGCATGCAAAAGGAAACACGATTCTGCATCAATAGATAATTGCAAGCCACTTCATCTATGCCCTTGACCACGTTGCATATTATATGCTCCCCAATTGCCAGGCCCAGGTCCATATTGAGGATAATTCTCCATACCAGGCTGCGTCTGTAAATCAAACATCGAAAATAAAGCTACATGATCTTTGTAAACAGTTAAAATGCAACATTGCATACAAACATCACAGCATGGCAAATATAAATCTCAGTAAGAAAACTTACTGGGTTCACTCCATATCCAGCAGGGTAGGGATTTCCTGCGTACCCACCTTCAGGTGTGCTATAATTGGTGTTATAACCTGCCGCTGCTCCTAAGAAAAACAAAGAAATGAACTAAGTTTGGCTGATTTACTAAACAAGAGGTATAAATTTCCAGAGAAGCATGGTGCACAAACAGAGTGAAAGAGAGAGAGAGAGAGAGACTGGGGAGCACTGGATATATAAAGACAACCAAAATTAGCTAGATAACCAAAGCTTCTGAGTGGTAAGAAGAAACAACAAGATCTTAATTAAGGGTATTCTACAATAACTGAATTATTAAAAGCTCATTGAGATAATTTTTTAACCATCTCTAACATCCAAATGTTGAAAGTTAAAAACCTCGCGATTGAAATTTGTTTCCAATAAATGTATATACTATTAGCCTCATACTTTAGCTAATCAAAAGCCAAAAGCTCCATTCTTACAATGCTCAAATAAATTAGACCTTTCAAAACAATCATACCAGGATTGCCAACAGCAGCAGCAGCACGTGCTCTCTTCTCTGCATTAGCAACCTCTGCCCGTAGCTTTTCTAGTTCTCTAGCCATTGAGAGCATTTTGGCCTGGAACTTTTGGCCATGCTCGTAGCTATCTGCATATGCTTTCTTCTCGTATTCAATAGCAGCCCTGCAAACCCCCCAATATAATATTACAAAAAGAAGCCAAAACTAGCATTCAAGACTTGTATAAATATACATATGTAATATCACAAGACCCTCAAAAACAGCTCCATACTTTGCTCTGTCAACCTCCTGTCTCATATGCTCAATTTCAGCTTTCAATGCCGGGACTTGCTGTAAATCGGTAGAAAATCTAGTCAAATCTTGGTTCATTCTCTGGACCTGAGCCATCAGATCTTGCCTAACGACAGTAAGTTCTTTAACATTAGATTGAACCCGCATGTGTTCAGCCTTCATTGCATCTGCTGCTTGAAGTTCCATCTCTAATTTGGCAGCCTTGTCAAGCATTTCTCTCATCTGCATATCCTTTTCTGCGTGAAAGGAATCACCATAATGGGACATTTGTTGCAACTCATAATGAGCAGCTTCTAATTCCTGCTTCAATGCAACATGGGTAGCAGCAACCCTCTGGTTATCGACTAATAAGCCTTGAATTTCATGAAGCTGAACTCCGAGACGTTCCTCAAGGATAGCAGGGTGAGGGGGTAATGACCTAGGGCCCATCCCAAACTGGGATTCCCTCTCCCTCATTTCCTCAAGAAGCGCAGGGTGAGGCATCGGACCAAGATTTCGGCCATATGGTGGTTCATGGGGCGGAAACGGAATCCTTCCATGAGGCATATTCTTCATCGGCAATGGCGGACCCGGGTTTCTGCCTGACATTGTGACTGATGCCCCTAATTATGATACAGAATTATTCAAATTTCCATCAGAAAATTTAAATTAGGAATGCGCATAACTTCGATTACATTAATCAGAAGAAAAACAAAACAAATCCCAATTATATTAACAATGGAGCATAAAAACAACTCAATCCCATGAATTAACTCAAATTATCAATTTACTCAAGAATTTGAATTAACAAATAACGAACTACACCAGAAACCAATTAATCTGAAAATCAATTGAACAAAGATTATCAAAATTTAAAATACAATAATTATAATTCGACCATTAATAGCATACTATAAATTAAAATTGTTGCTGATAAATTCAAATTAAAACCAGTTCAAAGATGGAGCAATCAAAGTAAGACAACAAATTACCTATGAGCGATTGACAATTGTTTCTGAATTTGATTCCTGGAAAAGTATGAATTTGCACAAAATCCGCCAGAAAATGGAGAGGACTTTAGGTTTTCAGGTCTTTTGGCAAACCCAAAAACAATTGTAACCTGCTAGCGGAGCACTGGAGTACCTATACTTGGAAATTTGGAATTTATAAAACTTGGCAAAACCGTCATTCAGGTAGCCGTACGAGTCACTCGAATCAACTTCTTTCTGACATTACTCCATACTAGTTTTTGGCTTGAGTAATGCCTGAAAAATTAACTTTTCAATATATAATACGAAATACTTCATAAAGAAAAAAGAGACAAGTACCAATTGCTTGGTAAATCTAAAAAGGTTGAGAAGGTAAACTAACGACTCTCAAATAAGGTAAATTGTTATGTTAGTGACAAGATAACATCGTTAGTTGGGACCGAAGTTGTTGTCCAGCTAATGAAGGATCTTTAGCCAAGGCATAGGTTACTTTCTCGCAGAATGTTTCATTAAAGATAAGTATGTTAGTTGATTTTTGTTTTGTTACCATCAAAATATCATGACCTTTGTCTGATTTATAATTATAGTCTAAGATTGAATTACCAATTGAAGCTATAATGGTAGATTAATGAGACGTTAAATGAGTAAAATGACTTATAGTGTAATGTTTATTTATATAGTAGTAAAAAGTCTTTATTATCTTTATGCGTCTTTTTTAGTTGTCGGTTTGGTTGCTTTATTAATTTGCGTTCATTTATGGTGAATAAACGCTACTCCATAAATTAAACAAAGATTTTGTTTCGTTTATCTATTAGGTATTGTATTCTTTTTTGAATTTGTCTATGCAATTATTATAGGGATGTCAATGGCGCGAGTTTGTAAATCCGCCCCATTTGGGTAGGAATGGGTTCAAGTTTGGCAAGGATTAAATGAGGACATGGATAAATCTTGTATCAATTGTGGGGATGAGAATGGGGATGGATTTCATGTTGTAACCGCCCCATGTCCGTCTCAGCTCCACCCCATCTACCCTACCTCGCCCATACCCGCCTTGCCCCATCCTGCACGCAATAATGATATAATTTTTTCTATTTTTTAACTATTATATGCGTTATTTATGATACCTTAATGTTACTTCTAGTCCTTCAAAATTTAAATTTTTATTGAGTAAGACATCATGTACTTAAAAGCATCTTCATTGCCATGATAACAACACAAAACCTAACTGAATGACATAATATCCTTTCAAAAAAAAAAATTGAAAATGGCATAACATAATCAAACACAGATTCAATCCAAGATGAAACACCGAGCAATTGCATTCTTTGCTACTTCATCCGTAAATAAGTTTAAAATGGTGCTTTACGTGTTACTCATGTCCTATCTACTTACTCACAAAATCACTCTCCCGACCATGGTTAGACTTATTACTCACCAAGATCAGACTATCCAATATGTCATTCGTCTTGCGGGGGCATGTAGAGAAGAATATCATATAATAATATCATGATATGATTTTTTTTCTTGATATGCATATCATGGGCCGATTCCCAAATAGCAATTTTTTTTATACCTTTGACTTATTTAAAGTCTAGATATACGATTACTATCCATCATATTTGTAAAGTATTTTCCCTTGACTTTGTAATTGTTATTTAACTAGTGTAGGTCCCATGCAAATGCGTAGTGGTTACTTTTTTATTTTAAAAGAAGTAATAAAGGACACTAAATTTCATTAATTAAAGTCATACGACATCTACAATTGACAATTAATGATAATGAAAACGATTTTAACAAAATCAAACAAGAATTCATCGGGGAAGGGCTAAGAATTCAAATACATAAACATAACAATTCGGCACATTCTCAATTCGTTATCTTATACAACTTTTTGAGTGGATCCGTCGTCACTTCGTAATTTTGTGAGAAAGAAAATTCTTGTGTTGATTTCGTAACCCGAGTCCGAGCAATAATCAATCTTAGCCCCGCACAACTGGAGACCAAATTAAACGCAAATATAACCGTTTTTTTTAAGGAGTTTGAAAAACATTGTCTTTCGAAGGAGATCGAAAAAAACCTTGTCTTTTGAAGGAGATAAACCCAATCTATCAAGGGAGACATTATTATAACCTATGAAATAAAAGCTTAAAAGAAATAAAGATTGGGGATTTCCACCGGTAAAATCCGATGAAAGCCACATCAAAACTAACAAAGGAGGTTAGAGTTAAGGAGAGAGAAGAGGGAGAGAGCCGTAGTGATTACTAATAAATTAAAAAAAAAAAATACTTTTTTTACATGCTTTAATTTTGTCTATCCAATATTCTTAAAAATGTAAGGCTAATTTATCAATGATGTGCATTGAAGAGTAATGTTAATTTACATTTTAAAACTATTGAAATTTTTGCTTTCCAGAGATAATTATTTCGTGATCAGAATATTTATAGATTTACATTGTATGCATAAGATAGTTTTATATGTCTATCTTCCCTACTCTTACAAAAGTTTCTTTTTAACCAAATGACACGTACTGAAACTTGTGTAAAGAAGCATATTAACAAATGAATGTACCTTGTTACCCTAATACAATACATAAAGGGAGTAACAAGAAACCAAATCTTAAGCATATTGTAAAGTAGGTTAAAGTTCACTCGCCCTAAGGATCTCGATGACGATTTTTTGGATCGACTTGATGCTATCGTTCTTCAATGGCTCTATGGCACTATTTCAACCGATCTCTTGTATCGTATTCTTGATGAAAAGGCAACGGCTATGGTGGCTTGGAATAAGTTACGTTACCTTTTTCAAGATAACAAGGGAACTCAAGTTGTGCATCTGGAAAATCTATTTGGATCAATTACATTGGAGACGTGTGTCTTTCTTGCTGATTATTATCATTAATTGAAGGAGGTTTCCGATCAACTTGCTACAATTGGGCATCCAATTTTGAGGAGCATCTCGTTCTTCAATTGGCTGGGAAGTTGAATCCTAAATACGGCATGGTGGCTGCTACTCTAATTCAACAGGGAAATCCAACTCCATCTTTTGCTAAAGCATGCTCTATGCTTGAATTGGATCGTGTTAGTCGTGAGAAGAATAAGAGCACTTCGACATCTTCTTCCACGATACTTCTTGCTGCGTCTGACGCTTCTCATTATTCTTCACAACTGCACAACGGTGGATCTGTTGGTGGTCGATCTTCTGCTGGGGCTAGTAAACCGAAAGGTGGGAAGAAGAACAATAAAGGAGATGGCAGTAAGGGTACGATAGTATTTGGGGACCTCAACAAAACCAAAACCAAATGCAATAATATTATTTTCCTCCTTGGGCTGCATGTTATCCGCCCTGTCCATGCCCTTATATGCCAATGCAATGGCAGGCACAATTGGGGCAGCAGCAACCACCAATACCTCAAAATCTGTAGGGGATCTTGGGCCCTGCTCCATAGCAGCCTAATATAACTTTTCTTGCCCATAGTTCGTCGTATCAACCTATTGATCTTCCGGCTTTCTTCAACACTTTGAGTCTTCAAGCTCCAAATCCGAATAGGTACATGGACACTAAGCTACTGCTACCTTTCATCATATGAATGCTTCAGGTATTCCTTCTTCTATGGTTGATTGATGTTCTTTTAATTCACATATTTTAGTTGGTGATGGATCTAAAATATCAGTTCAAGGCTCTAGCACTACTACTCTTTCTAAACCATTTCCTCCTCTTACTCTTAAACACATTCTTTTTGCTCCTAGTATCATTAAGAATCTAGTCTTTGTCCATCAATTCACTACCGATAATTTTGTCTCTGTTGAATTTAACTCTTTTGGTTTTTCTGTGAAGGACCTCCGGACGGGGAAAATAGTGACGAGGTGCAATAGTACTGGAAATCTTTATCCTATATCTTCCAATTCTTCATCATCATCTCCTTCTACTGCATTTGCGGTTCTTTCCTCTTAAGTATGGCGCAATCATTTGGGACATCAGGGCGATCAAGCTCTTAGTTTTCTTAGGAATCATAAACTTATTCAATGTAATAAAGGAGATGCCCTCACTGTTTTTCATGGTTGCCAATTAGGAAAACACTACCGGCTTCCGTTTAGTATTTTATCTACTAAAACTTGTACTCCTTTTGATATAGTCCATACTCTATACTGGTTTTTACTTATCCTCTAAATAGTCATACTGGTTTTTGCTATTAATTATTTGCTTTTCCTTGATGACTATTCTCACTATTTATGGGTTTTTCCACTTAAATAAAAATCTTAGGTTTACCCGAATTTGTGTACTTTTGCATTCGTATGTCAAAACTCAATTTAATGTGTCTATTAAAGCATTACAATGAGATAATGGTTGAGAGTATGATAATGATAGCTTCACCCTATTTTCTCAATCTCATGGCATCATATAAAGGCATTTGTGTCCTAATACCTCTCCTCAAAATAGGAAGGCGAAACATATGATTAGGACTACTAATAACATTTGTCGTTGTCTTTTATTTCATGCTTCTCCCCCTTCCTCCTTTTTTGGGTTGAGTCTTTGCACACGTGTAACACCTTAGAAATTTCCCCCTTTTTAAATACCTATTTTGCTCTTTTTAGAATACGAAATATTAAATAACTAAGACATTACCGCCACCATGATAACAACTAAGCCTTTAGCAAAGACATATAGCAGAAGACTCTTTTCTAAACCATTTAAAATAAAACAAAGTCCAATAATCAAACCAAACGAAAGTAAAGTCAACCCAAAACCAAACAAAGTCAAACCTACAACTTGGAACCATTGTAGGCCCTTTCAAAAACCAAACCATTGTTCAAAATCAATAAATTAGTCTCCACAAGCAACTAAATAACATTTAAAGTAAATAAAGCAAATCATATTCTCATAAAGACTAAAAGATTCGCTCTTCACTCATTTCCCCAACATGGATATGTAGCGTCACCTGAAAAACTTCTTTGTATTCTATCCCCAGTTCCCCACTACTCGCCATAAGAAATGATGGGTCATCGTAGGGCCAAGATAAAGACAAGGACAAACAAAAAAAACAATCAATAATGCTGAGTATATAAACGTAAACGAAACACACTAACATGCTTACAACCTAACATCATTAATCTTACCTTTATCCCTATATTCAACATACAATCAATAATACAAATATTAGATAACAATTCATTAGTTTATTTATTTGATTACGCATCGAACGTGTTTCCAACCAAATCCCTGCATCATGTACCCCCAGTAGAAGCTATGGTTAAATATAAAACCTCATAACTCCCCTCGTATGTTCAT